ATTAGGAATGCACAGTCCCAATGTCTCTGAGTTCTGACTAACAGTGGCCAAGCCACATCCATCACTTCACTCCTGGCAGGAGAATCTTGCCAAATCAAACTCAGGAGTTTGCTGATTCATAATACCTTATTTAGTTTGCAAAATTTGTGCCCAATAAATCCGTCCCTCTGAATGCAGGTTGTCTGAATAGACCTGCATGAGTTTGTTATTGACCTAGAGTTGGTTCTGAATTGATTACCTCCAATATTAGGGTGATGTTTCTCAAAACTTTGCCAGCTTTAAGACTGGTGGACTTCTGATGCAAAATTACTTTCATATTTGGTGGACTTGTAGATATATAAAAGCTTTTTGGATTAAAATTTGGTGGAACATTCAAAATATTTTTAAAAGAAAGATAAAGTTTACTCCTCAACTATTTTTGTTGGGTATAATTGTAGATTTTGATGTTAAGGAAACTAATTTGATGTTGAATTTAATAACAGCAGCAAGGCTGTTGGTAGGGCAATATTGGAAGGATTGTTTGCCAACTATAGAAGAATGGACACTTAAAGTGTCAAATTTAGCAGAAATGGGGTATATTTTGGGGTATATTTTGTAATTTTTGTAAAACTTTTTAATTAAAAAAAAAAAGACTGGTGGACTTCAACAGAGGGATAGAATCAAGATCGTGTGAAGTGTTAGTACCACTTTACAAGGTCTTTGTAAGGCCACCCTTGGAATGCTGCATCCAGTTTCGGTCACCATATTATAAAAAAGATGTTGCGACTCTGGAAAGAGTGCCGAGAAGAGCAACAAAGAGGGTTAAATTAGAGGCTATTACAAACGAAGAATGGTTGCAGGAATTGGGTACGTCTACTTTAATGAAAAGAAGGACGAGGAGTGACTGGATAGCAGTGTTCCAATATTTGAGGGGCTGCCACAAAAAGGAGCGGGTCAAACTATTCTCCAAAGCATCTGAAGACAAGAATGGATGGAAACTAATCAAGGAGAGAAGCAACCTAGAACAAAGGAGAATTTTTTTTTTTTTTTTTGACAGTGAGAACAATTCAATCAGTGGAACAACTTGCTTTAAAAACAGTGGACATTTTTAAGAAGAGATTGGAAAACCATTTTTCTGACCTGGTGTAGGGTTTTGCTACTCGACCAGGGGGCTGGACTAGAAGACCTCCAAGGTCCCTTCCGACTTGTTATTCTTTTAATTCCCAGAACTGCAATCGTCATAAATATGAGCCAATCACCAAGGGTCTGAATTTTGATCCGCTGGTCATGGGGTTGTTACAATGGCCGTTAAATGTGAAAATGGTCATAAATCACTTTTTTCAGTGCCGTTGTAACTTCCAATGGTCACTAAATGAATGCACCTGTGTTCCTGGCCAAGTACCCACTCCCAGGCATTCCCTGGAAAAAGAAAAAGTTGAATTGGAAGGATGGTCCAGTTGAGGCCTCGCTTAAAGAGAAAGTACCTCCCTCAGCAGAAAGGAGTAGAGACCACCAGGAAATGCCAGAGTCATAGACTAGACCGGAAACTTGAAACAATAATTCCCCATCATAAGAAACCGCTTCTCTCTCGTCAAGAAAACCACAGGCTTTTGTTTCTGGGCTCAGCTCCAAAGAGACGTCAATTTTTTTAATCATTCCCTTTTGAGCCAACAGCAAATTTATACGGAATTTTTACGGATATTGTTTTATGAGTTACAGAACCAGAGGTGGGAACCGAATGGAGGAAAAGGGGGTTCAGATTGCAGCTGCCTATCCAAAGGGGCAAAGTCCTTCCATGCAGAATCACAGGGTAACAGTGTCGAAAGGGACCCTGGAGGTCTTCTAGTCCAACCCCAGGCTCATTCCAGACTAATGCTTGTCCAGTCTCTTCTTGAAAACCTCCAATGTTGGAGCACCCACAACTTCTAAAGGCAAACTGATCCACTGATTAATTGCTCTCACTATCAAGACATTTCTCCTTAGTTCTAGATCTGGACCCTGGTGGATCTTGAAAAGCTAAGCTGGATCAGAGCTGAGAGGGAGAGAAACCAAGAATCCCAGACCTGAAGGTGAAACAAGCCAACATTTGACCAGGATCCCCAAAGGTCTCCCAAATCCACTCAGAAAGATGACTGGAGCAGAGTTTGACTCAACAGCCTTTATACAGGTTGTCCTTGACTTACGACCACAGTGGAGTCCCGAATTCCTGTTGCTAAGCAAGACCATTGTTCTGCGATGGCTCATTTTACGTCCATTCTTGCCATAGATATTAAGTGAACCATTGCAGTTGTTAAGTCAATCTGGGTTCCTCATTGGCTTTGCTTGTCAGATGGTCGCAAAAGGGGACACTGCGACCGTCATAAATACAAGCCAGTTGCCAAGCATCGGAATTTTGATTACGTGATCCTGAGGATGCTGCCACGGTCGTAAATATGAACGGTCATAAGTCACTTTTTTTGAGGGCTGTTGTAACTTTGAACAGTCACTAAACAAGTGGGCTCCCTGTATTTTGATCTGAAGGAAGGAGCAGGACGTGAAAATGCAAAGCAGGTCAAAGCAGTCAAAATGGCAGACGCGGCTGCACCCTCAAAGCCCTGCACCCTGCAATGCACATAAAAAAGGAGGCAGGGCTTTGATGGCAGGGGCGGGGCTTCCATTTTGCCTATTTTGACACAAGGTTGACTCAGCCTTCCATCTTTCCAAGGTCAGTAGGACCCAGATGGTTGGGGAGTCAATATGATGACTCTGTAAACCGCTTACAGAGGGCTGTAAAAGCACTATGAAGTGGTATAAAAGTGCTTTCTTTCTCTTTCTTTCTTTCTTTCTTTCTTTCTTTTTCTTTCTTTATCTATCTATCTTTCTATCTTTCTTTTTTCTTCCTTCCCTCCTTCCTTCCTTAAGTTCGGCAAAATGAGAACCCAGATTGTTGGGGGCAAATATGCTGATTCTGTAAACTGCTTAGAGAGAGAGAGAGAGAAAGAACTGTAAAGCACTGTGAAGCAGGATATAAGTGCTATTGCTATTTCTTTCTTTCTTTCCTTTCTTTTGCTCTTTCCTTCCTTCCTTCCTTCCTTGGTCGGTAGAATGATCACCCAGATTGATGGGGGGCAAATATGCTGCTGACTCTGTAAACTGCTTAGAGAGGGGGCTGTAAAGTACTGTGAAGCAGGATATCAGTGCTTTCTTTCTTCCTTTCTTCCTTTCTTCCTTCCTTTCTTTCTTTCTTTCTTTCTTTCTTTCCTCCTTCCTTCCTTGGTCGGTAGAATGATGACCCAGATTGGTGAGGGGCAAATATGCTGACTCTGTAAACTACTTAGAGAGAGGGCTGTAAAGCACTATGGAGTGGTATATAAGTGCTATTGCTATTTCTCTCTCTCTCTCTCTCTCTTTCTCTCTCTTTCTTTCTCTCCCTCCCTCCTTCCTAGGTCAGTGAAACGAGGGCTCAGATTGTTGGGGGCAAATAAGCTAACCCTAAACAGTTCAGAGAGGGCTGGAAAGCACTGTAAAGCGGCATATAAGTCTAAGGGCTATTGCTGTCTGTATGGGAGCCTACAAAACGCAGCCCAACATCTGAACCGAGACCAGGTCATTTTTACTTTCTAGGCATGCAAACTCGGCGGTTAAACAATAACTTCAGCAGGCAACCTGCTCACAATGCAGAAAGAGCAAATGCCATAAATCAAGAGGCGAGTCCAACGCGCGTTCCGCCCCAGGGCCTCGCCCCACCGCAGGTGCACAACACGCCGAACCTGGTTAGCCAGTTAGCAAACCCCCTTTCCGGGTTTAGCGCCGTACACGCTAATCCGATCCAGTTGCAGCAGCCAGCTCAGCTCAGTCCAGAGCGCGAAGGCCACGGCGCAGCTCTTCCCGGATGACCCGCGCGGTCGTGGGAACCCGACTCGGGTCGCGGTCCTGGGAACCCGACCCAGGACCGCGCGGGTCATCCGGGAGGAGCCGCGCCGTGGCCTTCACGCTCCTGGGAACCCGACCCGGGTCACGGTCGTGAGAACCCAACCCGGGTCGCGCTCGTGGGAACCCGACCAAGGTCTCCGAAAGATCTTTCCGGGCCCGAGAGGCCGTTTTCCTCCCCGGCGCCGCTAGGGGGCGGGCTGCCGCCAGGCAAAGCCGAACACCCCCCAACCCAAACAACGCAGCCGCCGCCGCCGCCACCTGTAGCAGCCGCCCGGCTCACCCCCGCCGCGGGAAGGGGAGAGCCCCGCTCCGCCCAGGTCGCGGCGGCGGTCAGCTGCACGACGCCCCACGCGGCTCCACCCTGCTGGCCGGCTGCAGCGCCGGGGCCGCTCCGGCAGGGCCGGGAAGGGGGCCCGATGGCCGCCGCCCCCCCCTTCCCCAGCTGGATCGGAGAGGGCGCATCGCCAGCCCGGCTCCCCGGACAGCAACCGCCCCCCCCCTTCCCGCTCCCGGCTGTGCGATCTCCGCTTGGCTCGCTCTCCGGATCGCCGGCCTCTTTGCAGCGGAGGGGGGTCCGCGGGGAAGGGGCCTCTCTCCCCGGTAACCCCGATCGCCGCGGGGCGGGGAAGCTCTGCCCCCCTCGGAAGGGCGGGAGGCGCGGCGGCTGCACCTGCTCTCCTCGGCCCCCCAGCCCCGACCCCCGCTCGGAGCCCTTTCGGGGCCGGATCGAGGAAGAGAGGCCGATCGGGGCTGGGGAGGGTCGCGCCGGGCGGGGGTCCCGGACAAGCGGAGGGGAGCGGCCGGGCTTCCCTCCCTCCCTCCTGCCCGCCGCCCCCTCCTCTGGCCGGCCTTGACTTCCAGGTTCCCCGGCGGGGATGGGCACCAGCGATCGGCTTCAAAGCAGACCGAGGGACGCCCCCCGCCCGCCTTCCCTTCCCTTCCCCCGATCGCCGGTGCCCCTCCCCGCCGGGGGGAGCCTGGAAGTCAAGGCCGGCCAGAAGAGGAGCGAAGGGGCGCGCAGAAGAGCCGGGCCGGGCGACCCTCGCCCTCCGGGAAAAGCCCGCTCTTGCGCCCGCCACCCCGGGAGCGCAGCAGCCCCGGACACTTACGTATCTCCTTAACTTCTTCTCCGGCGGGGATTTGCGGAGCCAGCCGGAGCAAACCACTTCGCCGCCGCCTCCTCCTCCGCCGCCGCTGCCGCTCATCCTGGAGGCGGCCGCCTTGCCGGGCTAATAATAAGGCTGGGCGGTCAGCGGCGCTCGCCATCGCCCGCGCCCGGCCGGCCGGCCGCCTCCCCGGGGCGCCGCCTCCATGCTCCTCCGGGGCTTTTCCTCCGGCTGGCGAGCCCTCCTCCTCGTCCTCCCCTCCGGCCACAGGCAGCGCGCCGGATCGCTCCGCCGACTCGCACTTCCCCGGGAAGCAAGACGCGCCCCCCCCGCGCCTCGCCGCCGCCGCCACCCCGCCCGGCCACACCACGCCTCCCCGCTCGGCTTGCAGCGAGGCGAGCTGGCTGGCCGGCGGCATTGTTCGGGGCGGGAGGCGGGACGCTGCCGACTCCGGGGGCTTCGCTGGTCCGCCTGCCCGCCTTGCCCCCACCCCCCACCCCGGCCGCATCCCGCGGGACCCCGGACCTTGCCTAGCCTAGCAGCCCGCTTGGCTCTAGCCAGCGACTCCCTCTGGCGTCGCGCCCGGGCCGAGTTCACACGACCTGGCTGGGCTGGAGAAGCGTTATGGGCGGGGGGGGGGATGTTCTACACGCGTCTTCCGCCGAGCGCTAGGAGAGCGGTTGACTTCGGGGATGGGGTTGGGGGCACTTAGAGCCGTGGGGTTAAACGTTGGGTGTGTGTGTGTGGGGGGGAGAACTTTTGTACGTGTGAATTGCTCGCTCCGAGGATCTCCCAAAAGTAGGTCCGAGTCTTTGGTGTTCGGGGAAGAAAAAAAAAATGAAATGAAATGAAAACCTGCCCCAAGTCACCAATTCTATTAGAAATTGCTGTAATCGGGGATGGATGGGTATGACAGATTTTATATGGGTTTATATGGATTTTAGATGGAAACTAATCAAGGAGAGAAGCAACCTAGAACTAAGGAAAAACTTCCCGACAGTTAGAACAATTAACCAGTGGAACAACCTGCCTCCTGAAGCAGTGAATGCTCCAACACTGGAGGTTTTTAAGAAGAGACTGGACCGCCATTTGTCCGAAATGGTATAGGGTTTCCTGCCTGAGTGGGGGGGGGGGTTGGACTAGATGACCTCCAAGATCCCTTCCAACATTATTATTATTATTATTATTATTATTATTATTATTATTATTATTATTATTATGGATCATCGCACAGTCAGCCAGATGTTCAGACTGGATTTGGCATTTTGTCTACCTATTGAGTCCTTACCCAGGACCTGGGATAGGCAGATGTGGGTGTTTGATAGTATTACAGGTATCATTGCAGGATGGAAGCAGTTCCTAGTAAGGCTGCCTTTTTCAATTGACTAATAGCGGATTTGTCAATGCCAACGGTGTTCAAGTGGTGCTCCAGTTGTTTTGGGATTGCACTCAAGGAGCCTATTACTATTGGTACTACCCTTGCTTGCTTTTGCCAGTCTTTCAATTATTATTATTATTATGGATCATCGCACAGTTATTATTATTAATTATATATATATATAGATAGATAGATAGATAGATAGATAGATAGATAGATAGATAGATAGATAGATAGATAGATAGACAGAGATAGAGATATATAGAGAGATAGAGATAGAGATACATATAGATATATATACTGTAGATATATACATATAGATATATACGTAGGTCTTTGGTTATTCAGGTTTTCTCCCCCGTCAAATTGGAAGTGTCTTGGTGACGTTTCGACGAAGTCCCATTCGTCATCTTCAGGCTGGTGTTTTCGGCTTCGTGCTTCTAGGAGCAATGTGTGATCGTAGGTGTTTCTTCCTGTTTTTTCCTGTTAAAAGGAAGAAACAGCTACGATCACACATTGCTCCTAGAAGCACGAATCCAAAAACACCAGCCTGAAGATGACGAATGGGACTTTGTCGAAACGTCGCCAAGATACTTCCAATTTGACGCGGGAGAAAACCCGAATAACCAAAGACCTACATACAAACACCCGTGAAAACCTCAGAAAACAGATATATACATATATATACACAGATAGGATGGTTAGATAGATAGATAGATAGAAAGAGAAAGAAAGAAAAAGAAAGAAAAAAGAAAGAGAAAAATAGACGGAGGGAGGGGCAGGCAGGCAGAGAAAAGAAAGGAAAAAAATAAAGATTAGAGATGGATGGATGGATGGATGGATGAATAGATAGATGCGCGCATGGATGGACGCACAGATGGAGAAAAAGATAATAGATTATAGACTGATAGGAGAGAGAATAGCGGGATGAGAGAGATGGATGGATAGATGGATGCATGCATGGATGGAGAGAGAGAGAGAGAATGGATTATAGACTGACAGATAGATAGGAGAGAGAATAGTCAAATGAGAGAATAAATAGAAAGAGCAGAGACACACAGAAGAGAAATGATAGACAGGCAGACAGGTAGATTAAATAGATAGATAAAATAGACGGCCAATATTGAAAAGACAGCCTAACTACACAAAAGGGACCACCCCTGAGCTACACAGGCTTGCAGACCCACAAGTGGGTGGGCTCATTAGCAAAATACCCTCACCTTCACAGACTCCTGAGTTCTCATGGGGGAATTCAGAGGGGAAAAATGGCTGGGGGGGGGGGCGTAAGGTTCAGAAATCCTATTTTGAATTTGGAGGAAGGGCTACATGCGGATGTCTTTAAAAAACCTTACATCGTTTCTCTCCAGGCTGCAGGAAAAGCCTGCGTTGAAGAGGCTTACACAGCAATGTCTTAAAAAGAAAATCTATGCAATTAAAAACCTCAGCAGAACTTAAGACCAGCTGCCTAGTTCCAAAAAATGGCACTTTTCAAACGGAGAAGGTGCCCGTGACTCCCAATACTCAAGAGCCATGCCTGAAATGGGAATCGGAGTGGCGCCAGGCTTGCAACTTGCTATGTATCTCTCTATTTGCGTCACTAGCAAAAACAAAAACAAAATTCACTCCTTTTTGTCCCAACTTTTTCTGGTGTTCTCCCATTCAGCCAGTAACCAGAGCTGGCCCTGCTTAGCTTATCATTTTGGCAAGCGGTGCTGAAGCCTTGGGAGAGAACAGACCTTCTCTGGGGTACATCCCATGCCTTCTTTTCCTGGCTGACACCCTTGGTAGTTTGGCTCCGAAGTCGCGCCCCGATTTAAGTGACAAGCAGGTTTGGGGTTGATTCCCTCAATTCAAATTGAATCAGAAAAAAGTTCATTCTGTTCTCCAGACGAATTTGGGGTATGGCAAGAGGCGTTCAACAATCTCATATCCCCCCTCTTTTTCTCCTCTCCTTTCCCCCTTGTCTTCCCTTGTCCTTCCCTTCCTCTCCTCCTTCCTTTCTTCTCCTTCTCTTCCTCCTCTCCTTCTCCAAACTCACCCAGCCGGCTTTCACGCCTAAGGTGGAACTAGAACTCACCGTCTCCTGGTGATTGGCCTAAAGTCACCTAGCTTTCATGCCTAGGGTGGAACTAGAACTCACTGTCTCCTGGTGATTGGCCCAAAGTCACCCAACCGACTTTCATGCCTAGGACGGAACTAGAACTCACCGTCTCCTGGTGATTGGCCTAAAGTCACCCAGCCAGCTTTCATGCCTAGGGCGGAACTAGAACTCACCATCTCCTGGTGATTGGCCCAAAGTCACCCAGCCGGCTTTCATGCCTAGGGCGGAACTAGAACTCTTCGTCTCCTGGTGATTGGCCCAAAGTCACCCAGCCAGCTTTCATGCCTAGCGCGGAACTCACCATCTCCTGGTGATTGGCCCAAAGTCACCCAAAAGGCTTTCATGCCTAAAGTGGAACTAGAACTCACCGTCTCCTGGTGATTGGCTCAAAGTCACCCAACAGGCTTTCATGCCTAAGGCTGAACTAGAACTCTCCATCTCCTGATGATTGGCCCAAAGTCACCCAGCCAGCTTTCATGCCTAAGGCTGAACTAGAACTCTCCGTCTCCTGGTAATTTGCCTAAAGTCACCCAGCCAGCTTTCCTGCCTAAGGTGGAACTAGAACTCTCCGTCTCCTGGTGATTGGCCCAAAGTCACCCAGCCGACTTTCACGCCTAGGGCAGAACTAGAACTCATCATCTCCTGGTGATTGACCCAAAGTCACCCAGCAGGCTTTCATGCCTAAGGCAGGACTAGAACTCACCGTCTCCTAGTGAATGGTCCAGTCACCCAGCCAGCTTTCATTCCTAACTAAGGCCGAACTAGAACTCACCATCTCCTAGTGAATGGCCCTGTCACCCAGCCGGCTTTCATGCCTAAGGCCGAACTAGAACTCATTTTCTTTCCGTTTCTAGGCCAGCGCCTTAACCACTAGGCCAAACTGGCTGGCTTCCCCCCCCATTTATTTAATTTCTTAATATTCCCTTTGTTTGTTTTCAACCAATTGGTTGGATGTGTGTTGATTATTGTCTTTCCTTAGTTCCTGTATGATGAGAGGGAGGGAAACTTTGCTCATGGCTGTTAAGCCAGAACAGAAGGGGGTACAGGTACTACAACAGCACTGGAAAAAGTGACTTTTTTCACACTAACTGACCACTGCAGCATCTCCGTGGTCAGTCACGTGATCAAAAGTGAGATGCTTGGCAACTGACTCATATTTATGACAGTTGCGGTGTCCCAGGGGGTCACGTGATCCCTCTTTTACGACCACCTGACCACCAAGGTCAGTGGGGAAGCCAGATTCACTTAACAACCCCGTCACTAGCTTAACTGCGGTTATTCACTTAACAACGGTGGGAAGAAAGGTCGTAAAATGGGGCAAAACTCACTTCACGACTGCCTTGCTCTGCAACAATTGTGGTTGCTAAGTCGAGGACTTCCAGGATTGGCCACGGCTGGAAGCAAGGGCCGATGCTAGGATAAAACCCTCAGTTGTTTTCCCACTAAACAGCCTGCCACAAACAACAACCCGTGGCGTCTGCAGAGGAAGTTCATAATGCTTTTCCTCACCGCCAGCTTCTGTCCCCTTGCAGTGTCACTTCCTGATGTGCACCGCAGGATTTCTTCATTGTCAAGAAATCACACAAGCAACCAACACCTCATACTTTTTTCAGTGCTATAATAATAATAATAAAGTTGGAAGGGATCTTGGAGGTCATCTACTCCACCCCCCTGCTCAGGCAGGAAACCTTATACCATTTCAGACAAATAGCTGTCCAGTCTCTTCTTAAAAACTTCCAGTGTTGGAGCATTCACCGCTTCAGGTTGTTCCACTGGTTAATTGTTCTAACTGTTAGGAAATCTCTCCTTAATTCTAGGTTGCTTCTCTCCTTGATTAGTTTCCATCCATTGCTGTTG